CACACACACACACACACACACACACACACACACACACACACACACACGCACACACACACACACACACACACACACACACACACACACACACACACACACACACACACACACACACACACACACACACACACACACACACGTTCGTGCCTATACCTTACAAGCTCCTGCAGGATATTTTGCCTGGGCTACTGTAACCTGACTGAATGGATCCAACGAGCCAGGACCCCTTTCTCTGAGAAGTCCTTTCCTTCAGAAATAAGCCAGCAGGTTTGGGGGGGCCCTGGATTTTTGGCTGACCCTGGCTATCTTTATGACTTCCCCCATTCTAGGTGAAAGTGAATTTCATTTCAAAATACTACATGCCAAACCTAATGTTTTACATGGTCTGGCGTAACGGTATGACTGACAATATTTTTTAAAGTACACGCTCCGATCTCTGCTTCCCAGAGGCTAAGCTTGAGCCGTTAGGCACAGCCACATGTCAGGGGTGGTGCTGAGCTCAGCCATGCTACCCCAGGAGGAGCCCCAAGAAGCCACATTTCCTTCCCGCTCCCCACTTGCTCCTGCAGGGAAGCAATCTGCAACAGCCCCTTATCCCGTGCAGATCACTTCCCCCACATGCTGGCTCAGGTGCGCTAGCTGGTACCCAGGGGAGTGGAGTGAAGGCATTGCCCACTTCCTACCCGTGTCTGCCCACTTCCACCTGCGTGGGTGGGATCCAGTGGTCTTGCAAAAACTCTGCTCTCTTTCTCTGCACCGAGACTAGCGCTCCAGGGAGGCTGCACAGGGTGGATTTGGGGAATCATGCTCCCCCCTATTGCCCAGCATGGCGGCATCAGACTGCAGCACGTGTGGCCCTGTGTTCAGTGATTTTGCTTTCACTGCGTATTTTTTAAATCAGTACAATCATATCTCTCCAGTAACGTAGTGTATATTTAAGGATTTTGAATCACGTTTTTAACAACACAATGATACACATACTGGCTGAGATTTTCAAAGCCATGTGAGGGACTGAGACACAAACTTTTTGACAAGCTCTGTCATAATATATTTTAACTGGGTCCATTTTTAACCAGCTCATTAACCTAAAATACATTGATTGGGGTTTCTCCCTGCTTCTCCTCCTTATTTAAAATGACCCGTGTTATTTATTCAGAACAAACACCTACCCCTTAAATCACACTTTGCCCTCTTGGAACTCTGTTGGCCTGCAGTGCCTTTACTTAGTTCACCTGAACAGCAGGAGAGAGAGATTTTGTTTATTTAGCTCACACAGCAGCAAGTTTTCAATCGGCTAATAAAATACAGAAACATTGGTAGCTCATGATAGTCCCCTGTGGCCTTGAAATCTATGAATCTGTATGCCTAATTCCTGCTTGGGGATTTTCAATGTAATACCCGGCACTAAGACCCTGATCCTGCAAATATCTACACAGGTGAGTAACTTGATTCACATGAGCAATCCCTTTGAAGTCCTTTGACTTTTCACAGCTAGGCATTATCGCATTACAGTTTGCAGGCTCAAGGCCTCATATACTGCTTTTCACCTGCAAAGTTTAATTTATTTTAATTGGTTTAATTTGTACGATATAGAAATATCTATTTAAATGCCGAGGAATTTGGCAAGTGAAGGGTCAGATTTCTCAGCTGTTGTAAAACAGAGCTACACCAGTTTACATCAGCTAAGAATGTGGTCTGAATTTTTATTGATATAGTTTATGTCAGAAATTCTACTGGGAATAGCTGTGTTACCAGGGTTTGAGTCCAAGTTCCCTTTGACTTCTTCAAGAGTTTTGGCTACAGGATGGGGCACTTGGAGGCGGCATCTTCCAGATGAAACAGAAAGCCAAGGTTCTAATCATTTGTTGTCATTAAAGATCTCACAG